TCGAGTTTTTGCACCTCGACCGCGCCGATTCCAGCAGAGGGTTGCGCGGGCACCGCAGAAATCGCAAAAAAAACCATGGGTTTTTGCACCTCAACCACGCCGATCCCCGCAGAGGGTGCGCGAGCACCGCAGAAATCGCAAAAAAACCATGGGTTTTTGCACCTCGCGCGGGAACTTTAGAAATCGCAAAAATTACGGGTTTTTGCACCTCGACCACGCCGATCCCCGCAGAGGGTCGCGCGAGCACCGCAGAAATCGCAAAAAAACCCTTTATCTTGACAATTGTGGTCTGCACTTGCCTTGCCAGCTGCTGAGTCACCGGCTCTCCATCCGTTCTCAACGTCACCATCAAACGCCCCATCTGGACTGTGAAGCTTGCCCGCAGAAGCAAACTCTGAATTCTCGAAGCAGCGCGGCCCAGGAAGTCTCGGGGGACGGTCCCGGGCCGGCGGGTCGCGGGTTCGATTCCTCCCTGGTCCGCGGGCGGGCGTCGCAAGATGCAACTTGCATTTTAAAGCAACTTGCGCAGAGCAACTTGTGCAGACCAACTTGCGCCGACCAGTTTGCGCAGAGCGCCTTGCCTAGAGCAACTTGCGCAGAGCAACTTGCGCAGAGCAACTTGCACCGACCAGTTTGTGCAGAGCGCCTTGCCTAGAGCAACTTGCGCAGAGCAACTTACGCAGAGCAACTTGCACAGAGCAACTTGCACAGAGCAGCTTGCACAGAGCAACTTGCAGGGAGCGCAATTTGCACAGAGCAACTTGCAGGGAGCCACTTGCAGGGACCAACTTGCCGGAGCAACTTGCGCGGAGCAACTTGCGCAGAGCAACTTGCACAGTGCAACTTGCGTAGAGCAACTTGCGCAGACCAACTTGCACCGACCAGTTTGCGCAGAGCACCTTGCCTGGTGGTGTCTCGCGCTTGCTTCACAAATGCTTCGTGTGCGGAAAAAGAACGCATCCTGCAGCGTTTGGCCGACCTCGCTTGCGATGTTATGCTTTCGGCCAACCGTGGTCTAGTTAAATATATATACATATATATTTTTATGGCAGTGATTTTTTTGAGGGGTCTGTAACAGAGACGCGGCGGACATTCGTTACAGACCTCGTTACAGACCTCTGTAACAAGACCAGCTGGCTCGTTACACACCCCTCGTTACACACCCCTCGTTACACACCCTCGTTGCACACCCTCGTTCCCTCGTTACACACTTCAGATGAACAAACCGGGCCAGTGACGTGACTGCCCTCTTTTTGCCGCAGCCTGGCTTGCGTTGAATAGCTGCAATCAAGCTGGAGCTGCGGAGGCGCTTTGCGTACTGTGCTTTGCTTTGCCTTGTTACAGCCTCGTTACATAGCCGTTACATACCTCGTTACAGACCCAACCCCAGCCCGGGCCAGCGACCCTGCTTTTTGCCGCAGCTTGGCTTGCGTTGATGCGCCTGATTCTGCTTGTCAGGAAATGTTTTTCCCGTTACAGACCTGCGTAACAAGGACCTCCGTTACAGACCTCCGTAACAAGATTCGTGCCGCATCGCGCGTTACAGACCCCTAAAAAACATAGATATTCATTTCAGCTTAAATGGAAGCTTCGGCCTCGCATCACCGGTGTCCCTCTTTCCATCAGGTGGATCCAGTGGTTGCAGGCCCAAAGCCACGAGATGCCAGTGGTGGCTGGAAGCCCAGTGGGTCAGTCGGTCAGTCGCCCATTCGCCCGGGCGTCGGTTGGAGGCGCCGGTTTGAGGCGCCTCGGTTTTTTTTGGGGGGGGGGAGGGTTGGGCAATCGTCCGCAATTTGCGGTTCCCAGGTGACCATGGTGAACTTTTTGTGTCCATTCCGTGGCTGAAATATCATTTCATTTGTGTGGTTTTCCAACCAATGGTCATCCCATGTTATTTTGATTCTTTAATTTCATATGGGTAAAAGTGTGGTCTTGAGGGTTCCCCTTTTTGGAGAGGTTGTTGGGAAGCCAAAAGGAACGCCGCCATCTTCGGGGTCCCACGATTTGGACACATACCCGGTACCCCTGTCTTGCATCGTGCAGCCATGAGGTGCGCTTTGACATCATGGCCAAGCGAATTGGTCCGGGCAAGGCGGCGGTCCACACAGGGGAGCCGCCAGAGCGAGGGAGTGAAGAGCGACAGTCAATATTCGTCGTGTTTCCACCACAGTTTGGTGGTGGCACATTTCCTCAGGGTGGCCGTGGGTCAAAACCAATTGTACCATTTTGGGGTAGGTGCACCACCCATTTTAGTATAAATTTTAGTGGGGATCGGGATGTTCACTGGGGGCTAACCGATTTGGATCTTGACCCATGGCCGTTTGGTGAATACGCTCCATGTCATCAGCTTTGCAGTGTATGACATAGACCGTTGCTCCGATGAGTTCGGAGTGCGACCTAGGAGATACTGCAATCCTTGATCAAGGATCCACGATATTAGCCATCATGTGCCTTTTCTGCTCAGTGTTTATGTGTGTGTGACTAATACATATGTATATATATATATATATATAGTAGGACCCTCCCAATACCAAGGTTTTGCTGCTTGAACATGTACGGGTTGCAGTTTTTTTCCCCCCAAACTGCGAAGATCTGCGAAGCACTTGGGTTCTAACTTTTACAGAATGGCAAAGTGTGACGCTGGCTCCGGGGTCTGTGGCTTCTACGTACAAACTATGCAACACCCTCTTAGTTTAAAGGCCGGGGGGGGGGGGGGTTCAGCACATGGTAGGACCACCCACGATTTTGGGGAAGCCGCCCGGCATTGCACATTTTTTTGGGGGTAAGAAGCTTGTTGTTGCACATGTTGTCTGGGTGAGAAGCTTTGGTTGCACATTGGCATGTTGAACAGCCACAGCAATGAGTTTATAACTTCCATTTGGTTGCTGCAAGCCACCTCTGCGTCTGGCCCTGCAAAGCATCCATCATTTGCCCAACAGTTGAAATAAAGCAAGAATCCTTGGTATTGGGGGGTCTTAAAGCAGGCATATGAGGGTTGATCAAAACTCCTACTGGTAACTCCCAAATGCCAATGGAGAACTTTTCCAATTCAGTGGGAAAGATAATCTTTTTAGTGGCTTTCCCCCATGGTCATCCCATGCAAAGGACCTTTTGATCAACCCCCATATGGCATATATGACCATGACTAAGGGGAGCCCTTTGCGCAAGGCCCGATTGTCGTCTCTTGTGTCAGCATATTTGCGCGGAACCAACCTCATCTGCGGTGTTGGGCGGTCTTAGCATATATATATATATGTATACATATTCACACAGAAGACATACATCAAAACCGGCTATGGATCAAAACCCCGGTTCGGTGAACACCCAGAAAGCCTTCCAAAAAGACAACAGTGGAGTAACCATCCCCAGAAAGGCGCAGCGCTTGACCCACAGCATGGAGTTTTGGCGCCGCAGAAAGCTCTGTGCCATCCAGGAGCTTACCGAGCTGGGTGGCTGCTTCCTGGGCTGGCAAAAAGGACCCGAGGCCGAAACGCCGCTGTACGCCGAAACGGCTTGGAGGGCCGGAAGTTCAGATTGGGGTGGTGGCTTTTTCCTTGTTTTTTTTGGAGTTGAAGCCCCTTTTCTGTTTGGATTTTGAAGGGACACCAAGAGAAAAGACGAATATAGTTTGTTTTTGGGGTCCCGCATCCGAATGTTTCTCGAGGTGATCTTTGCGGCCATGCTGCGCTCCTGCTTTAAGGACAGGAGCACAGCCGGAACCTCAGTAAAGCTTTGGATAGCGGTGGTGGTGGTGGTGGTGGTTGTGTGGTCGTGTGGTTGTGGTTGTCCACTTTGGGTCTTGTGGTTATGGCGGTTGTGGTTGCTCAACAACTTGCTTGCTTCTCATTGTTCCAAGCTGGTAAACGAGACTTGCCAATTCGCCTTCTCCGGGGTGAAGAGGCGAAACCCAAATGTTGCACGCAGGATATATTTTCTCCATGTGTCTTTTGTATGACCTTCGGATGGCGTGACGTTTGGAATCAGCAGCAAGCTTCTAACTGCCCGCGGGTAGCCGTTGAGCAGCATGCGTGATTGTTCTGCGTCGTACGTAGTGGCGCGCAGCAAATCGCATGTTGAAGCCAACATTGCTGAGATCAATCTTCTCCGGGCATGTCCAACTAGTTGCCCATTTAAAGCAAGTGACTGTAAGCAATTCAGTGATCGGCCCACTTCTTTGATGTTTTCAGCATTTGTGGTCAAAGCAAGAGGGGGCAGAAGACTGCTTCCTTTCAGCACTGGGCTAAGGGTACAGTTGAACTCAACGCAAAACGTTGCCTGCAGGAAGACGTCAGCATGGATGTGTGCTGAAGCTTGCGGCAGATAATTTGTTTGTTCTTTTTGCCGAGCTTTCGTACGGCTTGTCCTGCTGACAGCTGGGACTGCCAAGCGGTTGCGCAAATGTTATTGAATGCTTCAGAAGGCATTCGGCTTCGCTTGATGCACGCAGTGCCTGTCTGAAGGTTGCAATGCAACTCACAAAGCCTCGCAGCGGTGGAAGTAGCAAGGAGCAGTTTTGGCCGATGTGTGAATGGCCTGGGCATGTGCACAAAGGCCACGAAGTTCATGGTTTCCGTCTTGCTCTAAAATGTGCTTCTGAGCCGTTGCGCGGAATCGTAGAATGAGGTTGCGAGCACATCATTTGGAGAAAACAGCACCTGTCCAATCATGTCCATCCGCTTGCGCGTGTTTTTTTGCACGGAAAACGTGGTGCTGAAGAGACGTCGACAGTTTCCTGCCGTCTTTTTTCGCCGTTTCCAGCCCGGGGTGGGCAGCGCGCCCGAGCCCTGCTTTAGGCCGGGCAGCTGCTCTCAGCCTTGAAGCTTTCCTGCGTGCATGGCAGGTTCTGCCAAATTTTTGCCTATACGGTCGAGAGAGAGGCGCGGGACGTTGCAGTGGGATCGAACCAAGCTGCCTCGACCGCTACAAGTGGTGCTACGAGAAGCATTGTCACAGATGGGAACTTGACCCTTGTCCTAGGCGCACATGAGGATTCTCCGGCCATGACGTCACAGGACTGTGCTGTAGAAGCCACACATGTTGCGCATCCAGCTATTAAGCATTGCCAATGCGAGAGTATCCCAATGAGCCACACTCAAAACCCGACCAGATGAAGGTTAGTAAGTGGCAGCCCCAGCCAGAAATAGTTGCGGATATCCGCCTCGAAGAGTTCTTGAAGCATGGTTCTGGGATTTCGACCATTTTAATACGGATCGGTTTTGATTGTGACTCACATTGGTATGAGTCAAAGCTAGTCACCACCAAGGTTGGCTCGTGTGAGACTGTTTTCGGCGCACCAGGCGTTGTTCAGTGCCCTGATCCTGTGGCTCTGCCATGTAGGCGCCGGCAAAAAGGGCAAAGAGGGGCAAAAAGGGCTGAAGAGGCGAGCGTGTCATCTGGGTATGAGTCAAAATAAAACCACCGGGATATGGGCCGCATATTTTAGTCTTAGGTTCCATTTAAAATTTACCAGGGGTCCGTTTTGGGTACACATTTTTGACCCACAGCCATCTGAGAGAAGCTCTCGAGGATTTGCTGCGCGCCCCAGCCAGGTTGAGACCTCAAGCAAAGTATCAGCTGTCAAAAGGGGGCGCGGATGTTCTTTGCAAATGGATGAATTTGGCACCGCGAGGTGCTGGATGAATTTGGCAAGGACTGCATGGCCAGTTGCACGGAAATCGGTTTGGGCTGCCTTTGTCTGATGACTTGACACTCTGAGACATAGGAGCAGCTTGGGGACGTCGACACGGCCGAGGCTACAGTTGAGAAATGCCTGATTCACAACGTTATGTGATAGAAATAACCGTAAATATCCACCCTTGGGATTTGTCGCATTTCTTTTTCGGGCAGCGGGCTGATTTTTGTGTTCCATGTCTGGAGATGCAGAGTATGGCGTCCAGGGAACATACATGTCCAGCATGGAGGCGCGCACCTGGCATATCTGGTTGGCTGGCGCCGCATCAAAGAGCTGCTCAGGTGGGACAGAGGTTTGAGGTCGAGACGGACTTGGGAGGATGGGAGCCGGTAACTCTCAGGAGCGGACAAGGTCTCAAGTTTCAGGTTGGGTTTGCGTCCCATGCAGGAAGCGGCACCCCCACTTCGAAGTCGAGTTTGACAATGGGGAGAAGCTGACCGTTGACACGCCCGACGAGATCTCGATTCGCCCGCTCAGTGGCAGCAAACGAGGCTGGTGACGCTGGCCTTGCAATGTGTAAGGTTCAGGAATTTGTCAGGTCCAAGCGTCGGCGCACTTGCCCAGATCCAAAAGCAGCCGGATCCAAGCGGCAGCAGGTTCGCCATGTTCGCCCTACAGAACATGTTTGTGCTGCAGACTGAACAGGACGGAAGCGCCACAGGAGACGAGTGACCCTGAGGCGTCATCCTGGGCAAGTGGCCGACCAATGCAACGATGTTTGATGCAGAACTTTGGTGCTTTGCTGCAAAGTAACAGCCTTCAGCATTCACCCATGGCATGCAGAGATTCGCAGGACTGTGAGAGTGGAGCTTTCAGAGATATCTGCGTATAGGGTTCAATAGACCTAAACCCAGGGGTTCCCTTTTTGGGGTACAGGAACCACCCCTGGGTTTATGTCATTGTGAGGGCAGTCAAAAAGTGGAACCCTGGATCTGCGATTCACAGAGATTTCTCCGCAGTGGCAGGGCAGGCTTCAACGAGAGGTGCAGCGTCGCAAGGAGGCGGCGCAGGAGGCCGGTTGAACTCGTGGGCAGCCCTGGCACTGTGAACTCGTGGCTGGGAGGGAGGGAACTGGAGCCCAAAGAAGGCTTGGTTAAGCCCTTAAGGCCTAAACTTAAGGCCTAAACCAGGGCGTATTTGGGCTCCTTTCCCTCGCCCTCAGCCCCCTACTGTTCCAGCTGGACCTGGCCTATTTGCAGGACGAAGATGGCGAGACGAGCGAAGGCGAGTCTGGCGAAGGTGAGTCTGGCGAAGGCGAGGACACCTTCGAGGAGGAGGAGGCCTGGGGCCGTTTGCAACTTACCCCAAAATGGTATCATTGGTTTTGACCCATAGCCAAATTGTGAAGGCCATCGGCACCCAAACGTTTTGAGATCCAAACTTTCCACGTCTATCCCTTGGGAGCTTCTCTTTTGGTTCGCGCCAAGCGCTCTGCCTGGCCCCGGGTAGGTGGAGAATGAGCAAGTGGGGATGCCCAGCTTGCGGGCAGCGAGGTAGGGATGGAGCAGCATGCAGTTGTACAGCACCTCGCAGCCGGGAAAGTGACCCTTGCCCACATAGGTGTTCTTTTTTTGGGTAGATGGCCTGGGTAGTTGATTGAACCACCAGGTAAACCAGGAATCGCCCTCTATGTTTCAACCAGATCAACCAAGAAGGACACCTATGCTTGCCCACGTTGCCATGCAAACCTGACGTTTCCGGGTCCTGGTGTGGACCATTCTCCTTCAAAGTGGACCCTCTGGTGGGGTCCATGTTAGTGGATTGGAGGGTAAGCCTTCATTGGTGCTTTGGGTTGATTATGCCAATGGCAACCTGGTACATGAGGGCGCCACATTCGGAGGCTGGAGGCTTTCACGGATCTCCAGGATGGCGAGCCCCCGCGCCCCTGAGGCTCCGATCGGAATCAGCAAGCCGGTAAACAGCACGATGGCGCTGAGCTCGGTGCGAGCCGGTTGAAGGTCGCTCGGGTTTGACTCGAAGCCACAAGAAGTGAAAGCCAGAAGGCTTCCAGCCGGCTTCGAAGTTGCTTTCCGCGCTACGCCTCAAATGCTAGCCAGTTCATTGGCTAGTTTGCTACAGAGCTGATTATCCAGTTGGCTAGCAATCTTGGCCAGTTGACAGCAGCCATCAAATTGGTTCAGCTTGCAAGCCAGATGATTGAAGTTGGCTAGCTGCTGGCGCCGGCTATCTGGGCAGCACGCTAGTGGCCATGGCCGGTAGGGACCTTCCAAATTGAGTATTTCATGCTGACTCCACAGCTTGTCAGCTGCTTAGTTTGCGAAGCTAGATGAGTATGCCAGGCAAGAAATAAGCTCGGGTGACATCCCCAACAGCATAACCTCGTGGAACCCTGTGGAACCCTCGTGGAACCCTTCGTGGAACCTTACCTCAGGGCCGCCCCGGACCACCCCAGGGTCTATCCGGGCTGAGACCCCAAAGCTTTCAGCTGTTGGGGAAAAACAGTTGTACCTTTTAAGCTGGGTCTTTTAACAGAGGCTACACAAATCCCACAAGAGTCAAGTTGAGAGCATGACCAGAATGTTCAGGGATTTCTGTGGCAGAAATGTATTGCATGAGGAGTTTAGGCTTTCAGATGAGGGTCAAGAGACAGCAAGTACTTAGCCCCCTCTGTGAACAAGTCGGGGCAAAGGTCGGGGGAGGTTGGGAAACAATCGTGAGACGATTGGGGAAAGTTGGTAAGCTCTTGTTTTTTGGTTTTTGACATGGCAAAGTGGAGTTGCATGGGATCCTATGTTTTTTTTCCTGTGGGGCAAAGCTGGCAATTCTGCTTTTGCGTGAGATGACAGGTGGGGGGTGCCGAAACAAGGGCTGATCTTACCCGAGTGGTGAAAAAGTAGATGAGCGCTAAGAGAGCGGGATGCACATTTTTTCTTCTCCAGCTTGCTTAGTTGTTGTTTGTTTTCGCGGGACATTTCCCAGCTTTTCATAGTGTGGATGAGGATGGACAAAAAGGCACATTTCGCACGACATCAGAACCCACGGTTTCTGATGACTCCCCTGGTTCTTCACATGGAAACCGTTGGTTTCAACTTGTCTGGGTTTCCCCATGAAACCCATGACTCCCCTGTAAACAATTTCTCCACATGAAGCCCAATTTGAAGCCCTGGTTTCTGATGACTCCTCTGTAAATGCCAACAAAAGCTATGGTTTTCCACCATGGTTTCGACTTGGTGCGAACGGGTTTCGATTTCAACCATCCGCAGCTTTCGCCAGCTTGGAGGGATTCCTTCAGGTTCGGCAGAAAAAAAAGCGGGGTTGGAGAGATTCCCCCGGCCTTGGGCGATTGTTTTTAGGGCTTCGGCCCCCCAAGAAATTTGGTGTTTGTCCTTTTGGTTTCTGATTAAATTGTCCTTTTGGTTTCTGATTAAAACCTACCAAATAAGGGCGTCCTCAGAAGCAAAAGACACCCACTTGGGTGGAGCAAGGCTTTTTCCCCTTCTCTAGTGCTTTGCGCCTACTTGCGTTTGCTGAGGTGCCAGCGGGCGAGGCAGGATGTGAGTTGGAGCACAGCCCCTCAAAGTTTAGGTCAGCTTCTTCGTGAAACTCACATGGGTATGGGTCAAAATTACACCACCAAAAACAACCATGGGCCGGTATATATATATATATATATATATATATATTTGATGGTCCTTTTCATTGACCGATCGGGCGACGCCCATTTTGGGGGTTGCCAACTACTTTTGGGGGCTTTTGGGTTACCATTTTGGTGGATTGGGATTGCAAATTCTGCACCTTACCCAAGGCCGTGTGGGATTACAGAAATCACAAAAAGTGGCAAGAAAAACGGCCTCGGCCTTGGAATGACGCCAAAATGGTTTTCAGGACCCACAAAAAAGCCGCGGGCCTGGCGCGTGACTTTTTTTGTGGCCGCAGGCGGAGGATGTCTCGGAGAGCGACGCCGAGGAAGAGGACCCCTCAGCCTCAGGTCACTGGCGAGGAACAAATCATAGGGGGTGACATATGCGTGTGTGTGTGTGTGTGCAGAGTGGCAGAATACCCTGCCACCAACCCCTTTTCTTTTTCTTCTGCAGGGGGACACAGCACTTCAATGGGACTGTGTCCAACGAAGCTACCAGTGAAGTGGGATATCCAGCTTGGCCAGCTGGACGTACCTGCATCAGTGATTCTGAAAGTCTATTTGGCCCCCCTTGGTTGCGGCGCTGTTTGTGCTTCTTGTTCTTTCGGGTAACGTGGTCGCTGCTAGACGGAAGCCAAGTGACTGTGAGCCGAACCTACACCCACTCGAGACTTATCAGTTGTACTCGAGACTCATCGGTTGTACTCGAAGGATTAGCACTCTCCCTTGGGAGTTGAAGTGTGATCACCCCATCTTGGGGGAAGCTCGGGTGTACCCATCGTGTGACGCCGGGCCGGTTCGCCGGAAAATTTGACCTCAACGTTCTTATCACACTAAAGGGAAGACAGCCACGTCTTCATAGCTACGTCTCACCCTCCCTCCTCGCCTTCGTCGTCCGCGTGTCCGTCGTCTGGCCCATCGCCCGTTTAGGGATGGCTTCTTCTTCCTCCCGGTCTCTACTATCTGGTTTCCGTGACCCGCGTGTTTGTCTTCCTTCTCTTCGCCCGCTTATGGATGGCCTGCTTGTCCTCGCGGCGTTCACCTTTTTCCTCTTCGTTGTCTCTTGTCTGTCTACCTGCGCAGTTTGGCTTGCCGTCTTCTTCCCCTTCCGTTGCTATTTCGCGTTCGTCCTCTTGGCCCCGTTGCGGGATTCGACGCCCTCCTCTTCGAGCCTCGGTCTTCATCCTCTGTGCTGACCCGGGCGGGATGCGACGCCCTAAAAAACGCTTACTCAACCTCTCTTTCCTTTTTTCCCCCCCTTCCCCCCCCTCTCCCTTCCTCCTTCTTCTCTCTTTCCTCCTTTTGTTTCCTGGTCTTCTGCTTCTCCTTCCTTCCTTTCTTCCTTTTCTCCTTTCCCCGGGCGGGCTGCGGCGCCCTAAATACGCATCTTGTTCCCCTTTGTCTTCCTTTTCCCTTTCTCTCTCTCTCTCTCTCTCTCTCTCTCTCTCTTTCTCTCTCTTTCTCTCTCTTTCTCTCTCTTTCTCTCTTTCTCTCTTTCTCTCTTTCTCTCTCTCTCTCTCTCTCTCTCTCTTTTTTTCTCTCTTTCTCTCTTTCTCTCTTCCTTTCTTTCGTTTTCCCCCCCCCCCCCTTTTTCCAACTACTTCCTGTTGTTCCTCTTCGCCCGTTTAGGGATGGCCTGGTCCTCTTCTCGGTCTTCAACTTTGCGGTGGTGGTCGTCTTCCAGGTTTAGGAGGGTTTCTGGGCTGTTTGGGGTTTTTGCCCTCGGCGGTGACCCTAAAACTCGGGTTCCCCTGTTTTTCGTGTTTCTTGGTTGGGGTTTTGTCCGCGGAGACCCAACGCGGGGCTTTCTGTTTCTTTTGGGTTCTTGCTCCGTTTGTTTTCTGTTGGGGTCTTCGTCCGTCTTTCGGGCGCTTCTTCTTCGTTGACTCTAGGAGGTTGCTGACTTGGTCTTCCGGATGCAAAAGGTATTGTTCGCCCCTCCTGGAGGGGCATGTGTGTGCGGAGTGGCAGAATAGCCACCAACCCCTTTTTTTCTTCTGCAAAGGGACACAGCACTTCACTGAGACTGTGTCCAACGAAGCTACCAGTGAAGTGGGATATCCAGCTTGGCCAGCTGGACGTACCTGCGTCAGTGATTCTGAAAGTCTATTTGGCCCCCCTTGGTTGCGCGCTGTTTGTGCTTCTTGTTCTTTCGGGTAACGTGGTAGACGGAAGCCAAGTGACTGTGAGCCGAACCTACACCCACTCGAGACTTATCAGTTGTGCTCGAGACTCATCGGTTGTACTCGAAGGATTAGCGCTCTCCCTTGGGAGTTGAAGTGTGTGTGTGAGAGAGAGAGAGAGAGAGAGAGTGTGTGTGTGTTCTTTTTTTCCCCCCCGTGTGTGTCAGTGTTCTTTTTTGGAGGGATATTTCAGGATGATTCTTAGCGGATTATGCGTTTTTTGTTTGACACATTGGATCGTTTCCCTTCAAGCTTTAGGCGCCAGACTGTGGAGTTATCGTTTCTCCACTTGACAAGCGTCTCAAGTCTTTGAGCCGCACCCTTCCGTTTCAAAAACTGGCCCCTGAGGATCTTGCCAGTCACCGGGGTGTTTGCGGTTTTGTTGATTTGCCCTTTCTGCACCGAAAGTAGCGCCAGAGAGTGGGGCTTGCCAGGAGACCGCTTCAACTGGGTTCCACTTTAGGACTAAGACTTAAAATCAGGGGTTCCCCTTTTGAAAAGGGGGTGAGCCACCCCTGGGTTGACTCTAATTAAAAAGTGGCGCAGGGAGGACCTAGACTGCATCCTGCTGAGAGCTTCACGCGCGAGCCAACTAAATACCGGCCATTGAGTCAACTTCAATTGCCCAGGACTTGTTTTGGAACAGCCTCTACCTTTGAGGATTCTTCTGCATTTCCAGCTTCGGCTTTCAACTATTGCATTTAACCTGAGATCCCGTCACCGTGCTATTCGTCATGCTCGGTGTTCGTGCCCATGACCATCTCACCCATATGTTGGTGCATGATTAACAAAAGGTCCGCCCTCCACAACCCCCACCTCCCATTCAGGCAAAGTAGCTGAAAGTGGACCACGGGTAGCTCCTCAAATGGACTTTCAAGCTGGCCGCCTTTACTTCAACTTGCCCCTTCTCCTTTCTGTTTTGGCTTTTTTGGCCGATTGTTTTGGTAGTGCTTCAGTTTTGTCTATTGGTTCTACTATATCAGTACCCTTAAACTGTCACGTGTAACTGTGTTATTTCGGTACCCTCTGTCAATCAAGCATCAACATTATGCCAGCTTGTTTCTCCGGATCATTGCATGGTACGTTTGCCAGGCTTCCTCCATCTTTCCTGTCAAGATTCATTTTCGAGTCTGAAGGAAACTTCGATTCAGAACTTTACAGGGTAAGTGCTGTAAGTCGTCCCGGGTTGATCTAAGTCGTCCCGGGTGAGTGTGCCCGTTGTGTTTGTGGATGTAAGGATAGTTGTCTCAAGCATGCCATTTTCTGAAATCGCACAATTCTGTGCCGTGCGCATGCAAAATGCATGATGTTCAACATTTGGTCGGCTTCCATGTGCCGTGTGCATGCGTGTATGTTCACTGCCACTGGGTGGTTCTCTCTTCTCGTGCCGCAGCACTTGAAGTTGTGCCACAAGCGGAAGCGCACTCGCGCAGAGTCGCGCGGCACTCGCGCCGGCAGCCCTTTTGCCGGGTGTTCCGGGGGAACCAACAGAAAACACTATTTATGTTTGAAGGATAGGAACCCTTTAATTGCAGTGTGCCAATAGGGTTTTGCCCGGGAAAAGCATTCAACATAAACCCACGCCAGTGAGTTTTGAGCATGTGCGTGCAGTGTGCGGTGAGTTCTTGGGGTTGGCAACATCGCCCTTCCAGTTCTGCGCCCATTGTGTTTTGCAAAAATTGGGAGGACTTTTCATACGTGCCAGTTGCACTGCGCACTCTTTTAATTTAAGGCAAACTCGTGATCAAATCTGAGACATCAGATGGGGCGCTCACGCTTTCAAGGCACACGCGTAGCTCCCCGCCGAATGAAAAGCTGACTCGTTCAAGGGACTCGGCAAGACGCTGGCTGCAGCCCTGGATACAAGGCAAGACGCTGGCTGCAGGGAGCCCATTTTGACCCGTGGCACACATGGACTGACTGCTCACATACAATGAACCAGATGGACCGCGTTTTCGCTCAAGGAAACCGACTGGAACACCAAAGGTGGATGGCCTGCTCGAAGGGAGCGCACCTTGACCAAAATGAGAAAGGTCTGACGGCTCGATCCAGTTGTTTCAAGAGATTCCGCGAGTTTTTGACGCGCAGACCCGTGTAGTGACCTCCAGGGCCAGGGCCAGCCCATGAAATGCAGATGCAGCAACCTTGCACCACACTTGGGGATTGGGAAACTGCTTGGGTGCAAATTCGGAAGGTGTCGGATCCAGACTCGAAAACCCGCAGATTGGGAAGATGATCTTGAAGCGCTCGAAATATGGAGTCACAGGAAGCTTGTTGGGGGGAGATCCTACAATTGAGTTCTCAAGATGCCCCCAAATGTGAAACGGATGAGTTGCAGGCCCGTGTTTCCGCTGGAAGGGGACCAGATTTTGCCCCCCGGCTGCTTGACAAAGAGTTGCTTGCTGGTCAAAGCAAGTTCAAGGGTTCAATGCCACGAACTGGGCCGTGGCTTCCTCAGGCCAAGGCTTACATCCAAAGCTGGGCTGTGCGAGCCGCACTCCTTCCCTTGCGTTACGCAAAGAACTACTCGTCTTTGTAGTGGCTTCTTTTGAAATAGGGATTGTGGATTCGGATTGGCCAATCCTGCATTTTGAACAGCCCAGAAAGAAGCCGGGCGCAAAAACTCGCATGAAGCTCCCAAAGAAGCACACTTATGCCGGACACGTGTTCACCTGCACATGCGAGCCGATCAGGCCACCGAGCTGTCAGAAATTCTCATCTTGCGAAAGTGAGTCGCAGATTTGCAGAATTGCAGTTCCCGATGTGCAGGACACGTTACTGCCCAACCTGACCCTGAGCTTGCCCAACTCAACACCAACTACAAGAGAAGACTTGGAAGACTCCAAGGCTGGCGGCTTCATTTGATGCTCCGAGCAAGCCGCGCACGGCGGACGTGAAGCTTGAGCGTGACGGGTGGCCAGAGTTTGTTTCCTGTGACTTGACCAGGCCGTCTCAACAACGGCCGGTGCCGGGAACGCAGCATTGACTTCCGAGGCTCATTGTGAGAGACGCATCCAATTTCCAGATGCGCGGAAGAGAACCAGCGATTGTTCCTGAACGTGTGCGCACGGGACAGACTTGTCAATGTCCTGAATGTGGTGGTGCCTCTTTTGCGCTCCTTGGGATTGCTTTTCCTGAATGTATGCTCATGGATTGATCGAGTCATGCTAACAGAAGTACAAGCTGACTTGCGGCCAAGCTGGCCCTTGCGCTGCGTTACAATGACAGGCGGCAGACAGCACTGGTGAAGATTGGGAGGAAGACTCGGAGGAACGGGCTACTGCTGCTGCCATTGCCATGATTGATGCAGAACACGTGATAGGCTGAAAGGCTAAGAGGCTGATAGGTTGACAGGTTCTAGATTCTATATCTTTCGCTTGAGCCAAAATAGCATGTGAAGGGCAATAATCCGAGTTTGCATTGGAGTGGTCGTTTGGCTTGCCTGGGATCTGAGGGTGAAGCTTGAGCGTGACGGGTGGCCAGAGTTTGTTTCCTGTGACTTGACCAGGCCGTCTCAACAACGGCCGGTGCCGGGAACGCAGCATTGACTTCCGAGGCTCATTGTGAGAGATGCATCCAATTTCCAGATGCGCGGAAGAGAACCAGCGATTGTTCCTGAACGTGTGCGCACGGGACAGACTTGTCAATGTCCTGAATGTGGTGGTGCCTCTTTTGCGCTCCTTGGGATTGCTTTTCCTGAATGTATGCTCATGGATTGATCGAGTCATGCTAACAGAAGTACAAGCTGACTTGCGGCCAAGCTGGCCCTTGCGCTGCGTTAAAATGACAGGCGGCAGACAGCACTGGTGAGGATTGGGAGGAAGACTTGGAGGAACGGGCTGCTGCTGCTGCTGCATTGCCATGATTGAAGCAGAATTCGTGATAGGCTGAAAGGCTAACAGGCTGACAGGTTGACAGGTGTAGAGGCTTCGTTTTGTGGGTACGATGAAGGCTGTCACTAATCAGTTGGCCAATAATTCGATTTAGAATGGGAGAGGCCCTTGGGCTTGTTTTGCTCAAATTTCGACTGGGATATTTTTTTAGCGTGACGGGTTTTCAGAGTTTGTTGATGATGTGACGAGGCCGTCTCAACAACAGCTGGTGTCTCGAAGACATCATTGACTTCCAAGGCTGTTTGTGAGAGGATGCAGCGATTTTGCAGATGGGCGGAAGAGAGCCAGTAATTGTTTCTCATTGTGTGCGAACGGGAAAGACTTGTCCAATGCCCTTCCAGAGTTTGTCTCCTGTGATTTGACCAGGCCGTCTCAACAACGCCTGGTGTCTCGAGGACATCATCGACTTCGAAGGCTGAGAACAGAAGTACAAGCTGACTTGCAGCCCAGCTGGCCCTTGCGCTGCGCTGCAATGACAGGCGGCAGACAGCACTGGTGAGGATTGGGAGGAAGACTTGGAGGAACGGGCTGCTGCTGCGATGAAGGCTGTCACTAATCAGTTGGCCAATAATTTGATTTAGAATTGGAGAGGCCCTTGGGCCCACCTTGCCCAAATGTTGACTCTCAGGGTAAAGTTTTTGCGTGACGGGTTTTCAGAGTTTGTCGATGATTTGACCAGGCCGTCTCAACAACGGCTGGTGTCTCGAAGACATCATTGACTTCCAAGGCTGTTTGTGAGAGGATGCAGCGATTTTGCAGATGGGCGGAAGAGAGCCAGTAATTGTTTCTCATTGTGTGCGCACGGGAAAGACTTGTCCAATGCCCTTCCAGAGTTTGTCTCCTGTGATTTGACCAGGCCGTCTCAACAACGCCTGGTGTCTCGAGGACATCATCGACTTCGAAGGCTAGAGCCAGCCATTGTTTCTCATCGTGTGCGCACGGGAAAGACTTGTCAATGTCCTGAAGAATGTGGTGGTGCCTCTGTTGCGCTCCTTGGGATTGCTTTTCCTGAATGTATGCTCATGGCTTGATCAAGTCATGCTAACAGAAGTACAAGCTGACTTGCCTCCAAGCTGGCTCTTGCGCTGCGTTGCAATGACAGGCGGCAGACAGCACTGGTGAGGATTGGGAGGAAGACTTGGAGGAACGGGCTGCTACTGCTGCCCTTGCCATGATTGATGCAGAACACGTGATAGGCTGAAAGGCTATGGCTGACAAGTTGACAGGTCGACAGGTTCCCATGTTGCGCTTGAGCCAAATTGAACAGCTGGAAAGCACGGGCACGATGGAGGCTGTCGACTTCTTGACTAGCTGATCCAAGTAGAACGGCATTTGGCACGGGATGTGGAAATGGAGTTTCAGTCTGCTTCATGAATTCGATTCGTGTTTCGCCCAGATACGGCCATGGGTCAAAACCAATGGTACCATTTTTGTATAGGTGAATTCACCACCCATTTTAGTTTAGTTTAGTGGGGATTGGGATGTTCACCGGGGGTACGATTTGGCTTTTGACCCCAAGGGCCACGTCGTGGGGCGAAAAGCATTTTGCGGCGGTGGCCCTTGGGACTCAGCCGAAATGTGTCTCTTGAGAGGTGTCAAACCGAAGCCAAGCTTCGGTCGAGGCCTGATCCTTAGAGCATGCGTGTGTGACATGGGTCCACCGTTTTCAGGAGTTTCTCACGAAAGCGACGGGCATATTCCGAAGGAGATTCCTTGAACATGTTCAATTTGCAATGGTCGCATCCGCGGAAGGCTGACCAGGCTGACCTAGATGTAAAAAGCCAAGACACCCTTCAGGGCTTGATCGAACCAAGCAGTGAACAAGTTGTAGTATTCTCCGAGCCAAAGCTTCTCGGACTTGACGACGGAGCATCAAGCCATCAATCTATGGGAATCCAGCAATGGCAACCGGGCATGCCAGCCAGTTGCACCAATAATTTGACGGGTGAGCTCTGCTGGGCTCAATTCGAAACTGAGGCAGAGCAGCTGGAAGATGTCGCGAGTGCCTCAATCAATGGAACAGATCTGGATGTGCTGGAGGCCGGGAAAGGCTGAAGGCTGCCTGCTGTGATTCCGATGGCAAAACATGTTCTTGTTTGTTTTTGTTTTTTTGGACAAAGTAATTTTGGATGAGGAAGACGTTGTGGCTGCCAACCGTACCAAACGCCTCAACGAGGTAGAGGCCGGGATTGCAGTTCGACACGCACGATGCGCACGATGCATCTGCGAAACGCGCGGCGATGCGGTTTGACTCATTGACCGGTGCTTCGATGGCTTTGCAAGTTGGATTGCTGCAGTGTTCCTGGCTTTTTGGTGTCAGGCTGAAATGGTTCATGCATGTGGCCAGTCTGTTTTGATTTATGAGCTTCTTGCAGGGCCGGCAAGGGGGAGTGCAACAGAATATGTTTTGCCCAGAGATTGGAGAGGGCTCACGCAGCCTCTTCGCTCAGAAACCTTTGAGGACACCGAAGAAGTCATTGAGAACCTGACGCGGGTCTCTGAGAAGGCCGGGAAAAGCGGCCAGCGGCAAGCGCTGTGTGGGGGTTGATCAAAAGGTCCCTACATGGGATGACCATTTGTTTGGAAAACCAACTGACAGGATCTTTCCCACTTGCCACTTGGGACTAGTTATCCCATGGTCAAAGCTGCGGGGCCTTAAATGGAATAAGCTGATCCACCCCCATGGATTAGATTTCTAGGCCTCTGCCAAGCTCAACGCCCAGCTGGACGACGACTACGCTGAGGTGAAGCAGGCGCAAAATATGACGCACACGCAGACGCCGTAGACGCCGTGGCATCCGTGGCCGGCCCTGCTTTTCTTTTTTCAGGCGGCCGGAAGCTTGAGCAAAAATCAGGGCGAGATCACGCAGGCAGAGTTTGTTTTTTTCCTTAGCGTGGGGCGCGGATTGATCGCTGCGCGTTCTGTCAGGGACTGAAAGCGTTGAGCAACGGCACCACGCATTTGCAGGCAGGATGCTGATCACGGGAATCTTTGCCACGTGATGTCAGAGTGTACCGCCGTTTGCATGTGAAGCTCAAATTAGCCCCTGACCCGCTCCCTTGGCCGCCCTTGTTGGCCATGGTGCATAGCGCCATCAATGGCGTCCACGGTGGAGGCAGGCAGCATTGGCATAAGCAAACACCAAAGATTCGCATGGCTCGAACATCAAGTCTGGCGAACAAGCAAATCATCACATGTGGCTTCTCCCCCCACCGGGTACCTTCCGCTGCTTCCAATGTTCAAAACAGGTAGCGGACTCTTCTGGAGCGCTCGCTCTGAGTCACACCTTTGATTCCCCGGACCCCGTTCCGCATGCGCACGGTGGAATGTAAGGGACAGGTTCAATGATGGGCAGGGCGGTCTATACCGGACACGATGGGTTTTTGCTTCGAGTTGTGGGGGTGTGGCCCAACTGGCGATGCTGGGGATGAGGCCTGCTTCGGCCTGGCGAAATTGTGCTGGATACAATTGCTTGCCGAGCAGTTGGTGTTCTGAGCATTTTTCTGCATGAAGCCCCTAGGTTTCAATCAAGACAGCAAACCCGTGGCTTCCATTCGTCTTCGCGACGCGGTATGGGTATGCTCATTGTTCGATTCGCCAGGTCCACTTTGATCTCCAGGTTGCTCTTTTGGCTTCCAGGACTTCGGAAGTTCTGCAAAGGCATTGCGAAGCTTTGGCAAGTGGCTCTGAGTGATCCCACTGTGGATGGCGGCGAAATCCGTTCGCACCACGAAATGAAACCATGGGAATGAAGCCTGAACGTCTGTTGGTACTTACAGGGGAATCGACTCATTTCAGGGTTTCTGAACGGTGGTGCGAAATGGTTTTTGTCCATCCACAGTATTGACCCTACCTCAAGTGACGACCTGAAGGTTTCTGGCTTCGCCAGTCTTGCATTTACAACTCTTTTCTCAGCGTATTGGCTGCAGGTGAAAGGTAGCCTGGAATTGTACAGTGCCAGTGTGGCCTATAGCGGGGCCACAGTGCCTATAGCGGTAGAGCCATGAGAAGCTTGCTGTTTGCATGGATCTTTTGCATCGGCTCTGTGGCTTCGAAACCGGAAGCCAGCGACAAGACCGAAGCTCGGATCATTGTCCGCTATCCAAAGTCGAGCCGGGACCTGGATGCGAGTGCCTAGCTCAGCCTGGTGAGTCATAGAGAGTCATAGAACCGATATTTTTTGCGCGAACATGACACTGCTGTGCTCCAATGCAAAGCGTTGTTGCTCAGGTGTGAAACAACTTGCACAAATTCCCGGAGTGCGGAAGGCAGAGCCGCTACCTAGCTTGGACATGGCCGTCATTGTGTGCGAGTCACACGATCACGAGGAAAAGGTGATGCAGGCACTCCAGTCCCACAGCGGGATTGAGCTCGCCGTGCCTGACACCTGGGTTGAGCTGGACGGCATGCAGGTCTCGTGCAGCAAGAATCCCAAATGCCAGGCTTTGGGGCTGCAGGGCGCCTGCTGTCCTGCCGCTGACGGTCTGCGCCTTGGGTGCTGCGAGGATCCTCCAGGCCCAGTTCTGCAGGAGGAGCATGGCTTCAGCACGGTGTCTTTGCAGAGTTGGCACGGCGGCTTCCTCGCGGTGCATTGGGGCAACGTTGGCTTCCTGCCGGACTCCAAGGACCCTGGCACTCACTTCTTCGTGGTGGCGCATGCCGATGGCTACGTCTCCTTGAAGACCTGGTACGGCGCCTACCTGGTTGCCACCCCGCCGGGCCGACTCGCGGCCTGGCACCGAGGCCACGCAGAGCCGGATGACTTTGAGAAGTTCAAATTGGTCTACCACAAGGACAAGAGCGTGTCCCTGCGCAGCAAAGCCAATGACAAGTACCTTGATCGCAAATCGGGACGGATCTAAAGATCCAGCTTTTGGTGGTTTTCTCAAGGGTTTCCATTGAACTCGCGAAATTGGACACCTTTTGCAGAGGGGTCAACAGCAAGGTACGTTGCCGCAGAGGATCCCAGGTGGGGTGTGCTCACGGCGGATAGGGAAGAGATCGATTCTTGGGAGAAGTTCAATGTCACGGTAACCCACGGGTGGGACACAGTGATCCCAGACGACGCTGCTTTTGAGAACCTATGGGGCATCGACCACTACGGCGACCGCGACATTGACGCTCCAGAAGCATGGAAGTTCTTTCCAGAGCCGCCCACGAACAACGTCATCGTCGCCGTCATCGACACGGGCATTGACTACACTCACCCTGACCTCAAGGACCAGATGTGGGTGAACCCAAAAGAGATCCCCGACAACGGCATTGACGACGATGGCAATGGAATCATCGATGACGTCCATGGCGCTGACTTCGCCAACAACGACGGAGATCCCTTTGACGACCAAATGCACGGCACGCACTGCGCAGGCACCATCGCAGGCTGGCAGGGGCAAGTGTTTGTGTTTTGGGTTTCGATGTAGCTGACCTCTTTGCACATCAATTCATTTGTATTTAAATTGCATGAATCAACT